CTCACCAGCTAATCATTTCATATCTACAACGTATATCGCTCGAGGAGCTCCCGAAGAAATGGTACACAAACAAAGCGGAGATGACATTTACACTAGGCAAGAAGCATACAAAAATCTTAATACAGTAGCGCATGGCATACTAGTAGATTCCAGTAAAACTGAGAACTTCGTATCGAAATCCAGGCAAGTTTCTGAAGTTTTTGAAGTTTCTGAAGAAAATAATTTGGAAAAAAATCGAGTAACACGAAATAATTGAAAAAATTCAAAATAAAAAAAATTTACTTCCAATTAAAACCATTAAACGTCAGATCGAAGCCATAATCAGCATGATCGTTGATTAGTTCGGCATGTCGCGAGCAATTGTACATCACTTTTTTTGGCACACATCCCATGTTCACCTGCAACAAATTTTTGCTTTTTAAATCAGCGATTCACGTCAGTTCAACGTGGAAAGAAATACATCAATTATGGCCATTTTCTTCTTACATTTATCAAATTACTTCGAAAGCTGAGGCAGTGAAACTTCGATTTAACATCAATGGTGAAATGTGAGACAAAAAGAGTACTGATGTTTCCCACCCGCATGTAGAGATCTGTTTGTGTTTAAAGCTAAGGGATGAAATAGCAGAAAAGAGGGAATGAACTTAGATGTCATGTGTAAGAAGACATTTAACGAATGCAACCGCCATATTTCATCCCATAGCTGTAAGCACAGACCGAACTTGGCATGCGAGTAGAAGCGGGAATCATCAGTACAGCCTCTTTCGCGAAAAACTGACGGCTTCTTTATATTTTCAATCAATCTGTGACTTATAATATGCTTTCCCCCTAATAATTAGTGAGAATATGTGAGCCAAAAAAGTTAAATTATCACGTGAACAATGGGTGAGAGACAACAGATGGACAAAGCGGATTAAAGAACAATGCTATGTGAAAAGCGGCAAAGAAGGGGTCCCCTGTGGAATTACTCAGCTAATTTGAGCTCAGAATGAAGTAGAATAGGGAATGTGTCAAATGTTGCAGCGATAGCTTGAAAGTTCTTCCCGTTCTTTTTTTTTTGAAACTTTTTCTTGCTTTTCCATTCCTTTTCTCTTCCCTATCATCCTATTCCTGCTCCATCCAATCCAGTACCAGCTCTTCGTTCCATCTGCTTCTTTATCTTGTCTTTTTCCTTCTTTTTGCCTCTCCTTTAAGCACTGCAACCGTCATACTGACGACGCCCTGTCGCGCGGTGTTGAGTTAAAGACTTCATGGACCGAAACGTCTTATCCCATTCTTTCCTTCTTTTAGTCTTCATTTTTATATTACAGATTTCCACGTTAGCCCTTTATGCATGTTTATGTTAAATAACTATTTTCCTTTTTCTTTTAAAACTTCCCCCGTTCCCTCTTCACTCCAACTTTCCACCTTTGTAATCTCCTATTCCTTCCTGTCCTCCCTCCCTCTGATGCTCTTCTCCTACTTTGCATACATGTTATCAACTTTTCCAAATGGTGGGTTGATGGCTGCACTGACGATTTCCACCCCAGTCCAAATCGAATACTGTCTGTGTTTGCAGCTTAGGGATAAAACACAGACAGCCAAGTTTACATTTAGCCTTTCTACAGGTCCTCATTACATCTCGTGAACACTTTTTTAAAACATATGCTCTCCACTAGCTCTTTCACTTCTTGATTTCGTGGTCTTCCCAGAGTTAACCTGATTTTTGCAATCTATTTATCAGTTACCTGACATTTTATCAAATTATCTCAGTCTCAATCTCTTATCAGTTTTTAACTGATAAAATATATTGTAAAGGCGCGAGTGCGTCACCCACCTAAGCCCATATACCCCAGGGTTCTTGGGTTATGACCAGGGTCGGTCATCCCCCCAAAATGGGAGATGTAAAGGCGATTCCTCGCCTTGCTCTCCTACCTCCTTCCCAAACCATAAAACTCAAAAAAAATAAAATAAAATAAAATAAATAAAATTGATGTGTCATCTTTCGATGACACTTCGCCGCGACGTCGGGAATCGACGTTCCCAGCGGAGATCGAATCTCCGACAGGAGTCCGACTCCCTC